AGTGCCCCACAGGATTACTATGTGCAAATGTCTTTGCCACTTTCCTAAGTTGCCTCCTCCTTGTAGCGTTGGTGTATCTGGCTCGACGTTTGCCAGGAGCTTTCTTGGGGACAGTAAGAAGTGAGAGGGAATGGTGATGTGGTAGGCATTTCTTCAGGTTCATGAGGGAGGCACACACCAAAATGGCTCCTATAAATGTCCTTAACTATCTCCCCATAAAAATTCATACCCTGGCCCTGCTCCTACATGTGTTAATTCCTTTATTACCTGTATTCCAATTTGCTGCTACTCACATCTTACCAAGTGTGTTATTCCAGTCTTAGCTATATTTATTGCTCGGTAACTTAAGCATCTTGACTCTAATTAGCCCTTCCTGGCGACTAACCCCCCCCCCCCCCATATGTAACATTTCAGGAAATCTGTTTCAATGTATCTAAATGAGTGTGCATCTACACATGCTAAGTCTCTCAGATCTTGCCTATACCCAGAATTGAACTTTGTTATCTTGGAGGTGCCATTGGACTCAAAGGTTCTCACATCTGTTTGTTAACTCTTATATTTGTATGCTAATTTAGGCCATTCACAGATTTTACCACTGCCTTAATCCAATCTCAGCTAGAATTGCTCAATTACTTATGTAACTTTGACTCTAACTAGCCCTTCCTGGCAGCTAACCCCACCCCACCCTCTCTCTTCCTATATGTAATGGTTGAGAAAATTGTTTCACTGTATCTGAAGAAGTATGCTTGCACACAAAAGCTTATATCTTGAATAAATTTATTTATTCGATTTATACCCCACCCTCCCCACCAGAGCAGGCTCAGGGTGGCTTACATATATGCAATAGCTAAAACAATATAAATAAAAGCATTTAAATTTTGTTGGTCTTAAAGGTGCTGCTGGACTCAAACTTTGTTCTCTGGAACTCACTTTAACTAGGGTTGTGTCGGGCCATGATATCTCCACCAGCCTTTTGGTTCAAAATTATGGACTGATGAGGACAGAATATCTAGGAACTAACCAATCACTCGTCTGTCCATCTTTATATATCAAAGCCTTCTATGGACTACTGTAAACCCATTACTATTCCCTTGGTTACAGTAACTATGAAGCAGACCAGTTGCTCGGCAGACTGCCAGCAAAGGCCTACTTTACTTTGTTGTCTTATAAAACCTCTGCTGGTAATAAAACCACACAACTTTTACCTCAGAACTTTGACTAGTCTTATTTTTGGCCTACCTTTTCATATACATTCACATCTTTCATAGACACAGGACAAATTTTTACACAGAATTATCAAGGCTGTTTCTCCACAGTAGAATACAGGTTAGAACGGAATGATAGTTGTCCTGCTCATGGCCGACCTTGCAGACTGGCATTAGACTAAGCAATGTATTACTGACAGCCAGTGTAAAGTAATGGTTAACCAAACTAGGACTCCCAGACAAGCAAGAAACACAGCAGGGGATCTTGGGCCAACCCCCCCCCCAACCCCTTGAATTTTTTCTTTGGCTCCAGGAGCTAACACAAAATTTAGGTACCAGACTCATTCTTCAGCCTTCAGGGTTTTGTATTTTTATGGCCTAATTTTCAAATTATTGCTACTACAAAACCTATTTAGCCAAATTCTTCAGCTTCTCATAATTTGTTTAAAGTTATGGCAAAAGTGTTATAGTATATAAATATGGGTTACCCCTGGTTGACAACAAAAGACTAACTTAACCCTAACAGGTTATCCCAAATTTCTCATAACTTCATTATTGCTTTAAAAGGTTACACTTAATTGAATATTGAAGCCCCTATAGAAAGCCAACTGGTTAAGGAATGAATTCTTCTACCACTGCCACTAATGTGAATAATACATTAAAAAGCAACAAGAACTTTCTGCACATTTTGTTATACATACAACACTCAGATTTAAATCTTTATACTACTGAGGATCAGACATTACAGTAAAATAATTGCTGAAAATACTATAGTAACCTGAGTTTTGTTGAGCCCTGGCCTAACCTACCTCACAGGTGTGCTGTATGGCTGCTACACCATTGTGTGCAAAAGCTACATTAATGGCAAGCTGAGCCTTTTGAGAAGACTGAAAGCTCTCCAAAGGACTAGTAGAAATATGGCTTGTAAACTAACACATTCCAGTGGAAAACTGGTGTTGACTCTTGCAGCAAGATGCAAAAAGGAGTCTTGTGGCACCTTAATAACTAACTGTCTTTAGAGGGCCACTAAGAAAACAGAAGCAGGAAAGCTTCCATCTTTTTTTCCTCTGTGGTTTACTGCTAGTTAGTGGCTAATTTATTCCAGAACATTAACTGCAGGACGTGGCTTCACATGGCTACTTTTCATGTCCCTCTGGGACATATAATAATCTGAAGTAGTATCAACTCTATTTCTTACTCTTGTACTTACAAAAAATCAAAAATGAAGAATTCCAAAAACTCTGTATTTGCAGAACTCACAATGTAAAATGATAAAGAATGGGGAGATTATTGCAAGTGGAACTTCAAATCTGTGTTTTGGCACTTTGGAAGAACTTTTTTTTTAAAAAAAGGCTTCCCACAGAAGCAAAACACCAAATCTGCAGTTCGTGTTAGATGAACAATCAAGATGAAGTGGCAGTTCTTGTTAATTCCAGTTCCGCTACCTTGATAGACAAGTACTTACTACCTGAACACACAAATGGTTACAATTTTAAGACAGGTAACTGTGGTTTAAAGCTTCATTTGCCTTAGACAGTTTTATTCCTCCCAAACCATTAACTCCTATGTTCTGATGATCATACTAGAGCTTCCCACTCCTAAGCAAAACAGAAAAGAGATACATTTTCATTCTTTTATTAAGAATTTATTAGAAATGTACATTAAAGGAACAATAGTATATCAAACCCTTGTTATTCCCTATACATCTTGAAAAAAATCCTTCCAGAAATGTAATCAGGCAACGATCTCCGTGTATGTGGAACTAAAATACATACAGTTACCATTAAATTTTATTGGAACCATTTTGTGAGGTTTGAATTTTCATAAAGCGCTGCCTCAGGCAGGAAAAAAAGACCTAAAATTAACAAGGATTTACATGAAATGCAACTGAACAAAGTAATCCAGTTATTCCAGCTAGGAAAACATTGAAACACCACACTCCTAGTCCAGAGTGCAATGAAGTATTGTCTTAAGGGCTTAATGAACATGCTAGGTCCAAAGGATGCAGACATACTATACCAAAGTGTGGCTGTTTTGGTGGTGAAAAGTATACCCAAGAAAGGTGGGGCAGTTTTACCCACTTCATGGGACAGAGCATTAATCTGCCATATCTATTGAAGGGGATAAGGTTAGAGACACATAGAAGATAACAGTAGTTTAAGGTATTCACAGTCTGGCACCTTACATGGACTGTGTGGCTTCTTTGGCATGGTTGATACTGGACCATTCTGCTCATATAAATTATACTCTTTAGAGTATGTCTTCTAATCCGGTATAAAGATCTTGTTTCAGCTGCATGGCAGTGCTGCTAGATGCCCGACTCTTATTGCTATACCACTTTTAAAATTAAGGACAGCCAGGGAAGGTTGGGGTTTGTTCCCCTTTCAAAGATCAGAGTTGACAGTTGTCTGTTCTGAGCTTTTCTCCTCCCTAACCCAGTGATACCAATGATGTGAGCCAGATGATCAAACTTCACAATGAAATCCGCATTAAGGTAGCATTACTGGTTTCTGCTCCAATTAAATGCTATCCAACTATACAAGAAAAACAAATTAGCTAAATGGGGGGACTTTAGTGGCTTTTCAGAGAATGCTTCCCCTCCTGTACATAGCAACTTCTTGTGGAAACACATACACTTAACTTTCACTCTGAAGCAATTATCTGGACCTTGCTAAAATCCAGTGGTCCCTGCCTTGGATAGCCCAAACTAGCCTGATCTTGGAAGCTAAGCAGGGTCAGCTCTGGCTGATACTTGTGGAAGGGAGACCACCAAGGAAGTTCAGGGTCGCTACGTAGAGGCAGGCAATAGCAAACCACCTCTATCAGTCTCTTGCCTTGAAAACCCTCTGGGATTGCTGAGCTGGCTGTGACATGATGGTATTTTCCACCACCACCAAAATCCACTCACAGGGCAGTCAGGCCAAGCCATTTGCTTGATTATTTGGTGCTGCATAACAGCTTTCATCTGCAAGAATTCTACCCGGTATATATTCATATAGTATAATTAAAACAAGATGATCCTCAAATGACATTCTTACTGAAGCTTATCCCACTAATATTTTGATGTGGAAAATCAATATGCATTTCATGACCGTAGTTATTCTAAACGATTGCTTGCATACCATGCTCTTTTTAGTCAGACACATACAGTTCATTCCCCACTGTAGAAATACCAGGGTTATAGATAACCCCAAGCAACACCACTTTGCACTGGGGGGGATCTTTATCAAGCAGCACTGTATTTTAGTACCATCAACTCCTTCACAGCTACTTCTTCAAAAATGCTTTATGTGCTGCTTCTAATTCTATGCTGTCCTAAAGACATCAGACCTAGTTCAAGCCATCCAGTTCTCATTGGCTCCACCAAGCTAGCTGACACCTAGCAAATCAGGAGGAAGAAAACCAAAGAGGACAACACTGAAAAGAGCTAGCATGCCAAATTGAAAACTGCTCTAGCAGCAAATCAGTATGCATTTAAGATGTAAACATGTTTTGTAGCTGGTTCTCAAGACAGGATGCCCTAAACCACAAAAAAAACTTTGATCCCAACAATACCCACAATATACACAAGAGATTCCTTGACAACACACACACACACACATATACTCTGGAACATTTCAATCAGTCCAACTGTGTTTTAATAAGGGAATTTCTTGAACCACTGTAGGTATTACCTACATCTTTTGGTGTTTTATAAATTCTGTTCTGAATTGGAAAAATCATAACATACACCTAAGCATTAGAGAATATCTAAAAACAGATATGGTATTACTTTTAACTTCAGATCCTCAAACAAACTTCATAACATTTTTGGAATGGGCTACATCACAACTGTAAAGCTGGAAGGAATGACAAACTGTATTACTGATTTTTGGCAAGTGAATTCTGATTAATATCCAAAACACTTCTGAAGGTAATAAAAATAAGGTGGCCCCCTTTGTCAGTTAAAATGTTTTTAAAAGTTGCACAAAAACCATTATGGCAGCAATAATCAAAAAGCACTGATTTTATTTTTGTTAACAGTAAGAATTCTGGTGCTGAAGGACTTTCCAACGTAAAAAGCAGTTCTCTTTGGGGATATTAGTCAATTAACTTAATAAAGTTCTGTTTTAAGAGGATTTTTCTTTCCTGCTACGAGGTGAGTCTGCTCCATTTGAGGTCAATGCTCCATTTATTCCATTTTCTACAAATAAGAAAACACACATATGGTCAACTTTCTGCCAAACATCAAAAACCTAAAAGCAAAAAGGCTTATATTCTTTTATTTTCTTTTTTAATTAGAAGCAACTGCTAGAAAGTCCAGCTTCAGAATAAAGATTAGGGGTAAAAAACTCTCTTTCCCCCTTGTACCCTGGCCTCAAGATGGTGAGTAGATGTCCACCCCCCACTGAGCCAAGCTAACTCTCCTTGTCAGAATGCAAAGTGATCTGGGCTCTGTGAGGAAGGTGAATGGAAGCCCCCTCCCTGAAAGCCAGCTAAATCCTGATGAATGGACAGGAGGCTCCTACTCCTTCATTTCTCCCTTACTGGTTAACAGGGGCTAACATTTTAACAGCCAGTTTTTAGATCTTTTTAAACAGTTGTTTTATTAAACAATTTTTACATCTGTACTCTGCACGCTTGGAAACTACTTTTGTATAGGGATGTGCATTTCGGGATCCCGAACCGAAAAAAAAGCCGAAAATAACGATTTTCGGCTTTTTTCGGCTTTTGGGATCCCGAATTAGCAATTTATGAGCTTGTCCGAATCCCGAAAAAAATTCCCGAAAAATTCGGGTCCATTATAACCAATGGGGCCATTGAAGTCAATGGCAAAAATCCTCTTGGAACTTTGCGGGGGGCTGGGGGGGAGGGGGTTTGGGGTGTGCCAATGTGCCAGTGCCCAAAAAACCCCAAAAGCAAAACAATCTCTCCCCTCTGCAGTGGCAGCGGCCTACATAGGGGAGCATGTTTGCTAATGGCAGCCATGCCCAGCTGCAGAACCAGAGCAATCTCAACTTCCCCCCAACAACCTCTGTGCCAGTCACCCAACTTACTGGACTCAGTCCAAACCTGAGGATTTCTGCAGTATAAATGAAGGGGGGGGCAGGCAGGGCCTGTGCAAGTGACGTGAGCAATCACTAGGGGTGTGCGTGCGAATCCCCACTCAGCGCACCTGAAGAGAGGCAAAGGGAGGCCAGAGGAACCCAGATGCCCCCAAATTAGAGTGGCTGCCAACTCTCCAGGTGGTGCCCAAAGATTGAGATAGGATGATTCCCAGGTTGGGGAATCATCCAGAGGGGTCCCACGTATGCTACCTCTAGGAAGGTGGCAGCAAGGAAGTAAGATAGCTCCACCCCCACCGGGCAGGGGCAGGCAGGCAAAAACATCCCGAGCCACACAGCGGCTGGCTTGTGGGTCTCCCCGCCCCGTTCCCAGCAATGCAGGAGGTTTTGGGCAAATTGTTGAGAGTGGGGGGTTGGTCAATGGTAACAATCCTTTTTTAGCCTGTGGCCAGTGGCCACCTTTGGATTTCCAAAGCGGAGCGGACTAGTAGTCATCTCTCCTTACAGTCTCTCCTGGCCATGGAGCAGGCGGGCTGGGTGTGGTTGGGGGAGGGGCGTGCAGTGCACAGGTTCTGCTGCTGTCCCCTGCCCTGAACAGGGGACCAAGCCCGACTCCCAAGTTCCCAACTCCTTTTCAGCCTCTCGGCAGCCCACCTTTGGATTTCCAAAGCAGGCTAGGCAAATAGCGCTTCTGGTCATGGAGGAGGGGCCTCTGGGCCTCTGGGGTTGTAAGGGAGACGTCTCTGTGTGAATCTCCTGCATTGCTGGGCACAGAGGTTGATGGGGGGAAGTTGAGATTGCTCTGGTTCTGCAGCTGGGCATGGCTGCGATTAGCAAACATGCTCCCCTATGTAGGCCGCTGCCACTGCAGAGGGGAGAGATTGTTTTGCTTTTGGGGTTTTTTGGGCACTGGCACATTGGCACACTTGTGGTGGACTGGTTCTGCTGCTGGGCCTGGCTGGCTGGCATGCACTTGCTCCCTCAGTCTGTAGTGGCTGCTGCTGCTGTCTGGAGAGATTCTCTGGTTTGACCTAGTTCTGGTTTTGGGGCACTGACTGGCATGGCAACCTGGCTGGCCTGGCACAGGTGGCAGATTGCTCTGGTTCTTCTGCTGCTGGGCCTGGCTGGCTGGCATGCACTTGCTCCCTCAGTCTGTAGTGGCTGCTGCTGCTGTCTGGAGAGATTCTCTGGTTTGACCTAGTTCTGGTTTTGGGGCACTGACTGGCAATTGGCAACCTGGCTGGCCTGGCACAGGTGGCAGATTGCTCTGGTTCTTCTGCTGCTGGGGCCTGGCTGGCATGCACTTGCTCCCTGTAGTGGGCTAGTGGCTGCTGCTGCTGTCTTGAAAGATTCTCTGGTTTGACCTAGTTCTGGTTTTGGGGCACTGACTGGCAATTGGCAACCTGGCTGGCCTGGCACAGGTGGCAGATTGCTCTGGTTGTTTCTTCTGCTGGGCCTGTCTGGCACAATGCACATGCTAGTGCTGCTGCTACTGTAGAGAGATTCTTTGGTTTGAGCTAAGTTGTAGTTTTGGGGTTTTGGGCACCCAGTTTGGTAGCGCAGGTGGGGGGGCACTTGTATGGTTCTGCTGCAGTGTGGCTGGCTGGTCTGGCAATGTACAGTTTGAAATTGCAACACGCAGCACACTCCCCCAAACAGTTTGCCCCCATCCCTCCATTGTTCTCTATGGTGGGAAAAAATGTAATTTTTTTCCCACCATAGAGAACAATGGGATGGGGGCAACCTGTTTGGGGGCCCATAGAATTGGACCCCCTGGTCCAATCTTCATGAAACTTGGAGGGTGTGTTGGGGAGAGGTTCTAGTAACCACCCTCCAAGTTGGGAGC